TTTCTTTCACGATGTATACCCTGCTATATACAAATCAAATAAAGAAATGATGTTTACCTACAAAAAAAAAAAAAATAGTGTCTATAGCAAAGAATCAGATGTAAAAAAAAAGAAAAAATACTTACTGTGTATAAAGATTTCAGTAACTCAAGTAGGTCATTAATAATACTATTTTGTAATTATTTTATAGAAGAATGACTTGCCCTTAGTTTAAATATTATTACTAAAGTAATAAATTTAAGAAAATGTCTAAAAATCATTTTTTTTTTTTTATCACAGAACTATATCATATATGTAAAATAATGTGACATAATACTTATAAGATCTTTTTCCATATTTAGAATTTAATGAAATAAACATATGAATAAAAATTAATTGGCTTAAGCAATTATATAAAAAAAATGATAAAATAACAACTTACATTTTTTTAAAATTTTGGAGTATTTCTTTATATCTGCCTTTAGGCTACCTTTTATATTTTCAATAAACTTTAGATACTTTAAAAGACAGTGAAACATTATCCTATCTGACTTTTTAATGAATAAGCAAATTATTAATCATGCTACTCTTCGAAAACGAAAAAGCAGTAAGAATAAAGTACCTTATCAATGTGAATTACATCTTACTTTTGAATACAAGAAGAAACATGAAAAAAAAGCAATAGAAACCATTGAAGAGCACGAGGTATGCCTCATTAATAACCATAACAGAAAACACCAAAAAGTAATATTAGAAACTTATAAACAATACAAAAAATGCCTAAATGATTATTGTAAAAGAAGACATCAACTAAGAACTATTATTGAACATCAAAACCAAAATATTGATATATAGTAGCAATTTAGTAAATCTCAAAATAATGAAAATATTGTAATCGCATATATTAATTTATCTATTACTACTGTCAACATTAGTGAATCCAATCGATGAATTCTATGCCAATTTCATACTAAAATAAATAAACTTAAATATATTTATTGTCTTGTATGCAATGAATGCTTTCTATCTATAGTACTTGTTAAAGATAAATATCGTCATTATTATACTAAGAAAACTATACCAAAAAAGTTTTCAGCAAAAAACAATATGAATCCAGGTGAAGTACCTAAAGAACTTCAGAATTTCTTAGAAATTGAAGAAATATTAATTACACAGGTCTTCCTTATAATGTCAGTTAGGGATCAAAGTTTTAAACTGAAAACCGATTGATCTGCGAATCGGTTTCAGTTCAGATCAGTTTGGTTTTTAAAAATTTTAAACCAATAAAATCGGATCGGATCAGTTTTAAAATTTTATAAACCAATCAGATCAAATCAGATTAGTTTCGGTTCGAATCAAAACCGATTTTGATTTTTTATATTTTATATTTAAATAGAAACAAAAATAGAAAAATTAAA